AGCCCAACAGCCATGATGCTACTTGAGACCAACTGTTTACCATCAACCCACAGCCACTTTCCACTGCAGTGAAATGAGAGGAAACTCTGTCAGCTAAACCGCTTCTAATGTGAGAGTCAGTGTATCTGAAAACGGAAGCTGAACGTTGGACACGATTAGTTAGTAAGTACTTTATTTATCAACAAGCTGTGCAGGATTCAGCAGTGTCTAATTTAGGTCCCATGTACAACAGTAAAAATTAAAAATGAGTCATTCAGCTTGCAGCGAAAGATACTTCTGGGCTTTTTTTTTTTCTGGTGAAATTTTGAAGTAAGCCCACCCCAGCACCCTGGTTATCCTCTTATATACAGTAAAGTACAAAAATGTGATAAATACTATTTACTGTGATTAACTGCTCAGGTTACTAGCTGTTTTAATAAAGTAAATCTTTACAGTGAAAATAATAGACAAGAAATCGCTTTTTAAAAGCTTTTTTCGATATGCTTACAAAATGTCAGGTATCAGCGAAAACATCCTCAACAATAATACAACGAACACATTTCCTGTGAGTTATGCCAAACACTGTGAGACAGGCTGTTTAAAGCCAGGTTAGCTTCTTGATACTACGAGGATCAGGCTTTCAAACTGCATGACAGTAGCTTCTAAACATCACTGGTCTTAGCTGAGTAATGCAAAAATTCACTGTTATCAGCTACTGTGAAGTTTCAGAGGAATTCCCCGGGCCACAGGGCAGCTACTCCAGCTCCACCTTGCCTATTTGATGCCTCTTCATTCTTGAATAGGGACTGATTGTATCATCCATCACAAAATCATACAGCACTTTTATCCAAGAATCGTAGTGAGGGAGGTTGTCATAGTACTCAGCTGCTATTTTCCTTACCTAGAAGGGACAAAAATACAGCAAGATGAGTAGTGAGAGTTCACGGAGTCCTCCTGAAGATGACAGATGAACTGGCACAAACACTAGGAAACCGGGAGACCATTCTCCCTCCTGATCTTTCCGAAAAACAAACAAAAAAACAAATGAAGCAGCTTCAGGAATTGTCAGAAAGCAGTTTGCATTCCAAGTTGAGACACTCCCTGAGACTAAAAATGCGGTGTTTTGTGGAGAGCAAAATCAGGTAAAAAAAAAATCAGAAACCTTGTTATTGTGATAAAATGTTCTAAAATTGATTATAGTGATGGTTGGACAACTCTGAATAATCTGTAAACCACTGAATTGTACACTTTAAATGAGTGAACTATACATATGAGTAATAGCTCAATAAAGCTATTTTAAAACACCTTGTTATACATACCTATTAACTATGTGATAGTCACATGCAACGTAACTACTGCAATATAACAATAAATACCACATATTTGTTGAAGAGAAGAGAATACTATGCTCCTTGATATGTCCTCCTCGACAGAAAAAGCAGGAAAGGGAGGACTAGAGGAGTCTGAAGATGGAGTGGGAAATGAACAATGATGAACTATGGGCCTTGAAGCCAAATAATATCTGAGCTGAATTAAGTTTTCAGTTTGGGGACTGTTCAAGAAAATTACAAGTAAAAGTACATGGTTTATGTTGGAAAGGATTCTTTTGTTCACAAGGCAACCAGCTTTCTCCATAACCTCTTAAAAAATAAAATTCCCTTCTCTAGGCAGGGAAGAGGCGAAGGCCACACACTCTATTCAGGCCAACACCTGGGCAGAGTGACACAGTAGCTGTGCTAGCATCTCATTCCACCGGTTTCAAAGTTGTCTTCAGACAGTTGTGTGGTATGTTTTACCCCAAATATTGTATTTTGAAAAATAAAAAAACCTACAGAAAAGTTGAAGGAATAGAGGTTATGGAGAAAGCTGGTTGCCTTATGAACAAAAGAATCCTTTCCAACATAAACCATGTACTTTTACTTGTAATTTTCTTGAACAGTCCCCAAACACCCATGTGCCCTTCACAGAGGTCCACCAATTATCACTATGTCGCAGTCACTTTCTCTCTGTGTATATAATATATACCACATACTTTGCTTTCTTTGCTGAATCTGTTAAGAGCAAGTTGCAGACATTATGCGACAACTTATCTGTAATAACATGTATCTCTTGAGAAAGGGACATTCTCCTATGAAATCATGGTACCATTGTCATACCCAAGAAACTTAACATCGACACAATATTATCTATTAAACAGTCCAGATTCAGAATTTCCTCACTTACCCAATGCCCTCTGTAGATTTTTCTTTCCTCAACGGAAAATCCAATCAATAATCAATGAATGTTACATTTAGTTCATCAGGTGTGTGAGTTTTCAAATAGTCACCATTTAAAAATTTAAGAGGTAATCTATCAAATTTGATTGGGTGTACATGATAGCATAAAATATCTGTCTATAGTTCCCTTATATATCGTAACTTTAAAAAACATCAAGAAAAACTAATATTACATTTCATATATACATACTTTTTTAGAATTATGGAAATATTTTTGATAACGGAACTGTAAAAACTACCCATTTTGATGATGAGAAGTCTAATAGAATTTATCAGCCTGCAGGAAGTCAGCAGTACTGGAAATTGGGTTCGTTTACTTGCAGATCAGTTAGGTCGAACATCTGTAATCCACGACAAACCAACACATAAATCTTAGTTAAGCCTGTTCAGATCAATAGTGATGAAGGTCATGTGAACTTTTGCTTACTTTCCAGAGGGATTTCATTTTCTATTTTCGAATTACTTTCAGATCAGTAGACTTCACAGATCCCCCAACACTTCTAAACCCAAAGTGTTATCACCAGGCTTAGGGACCCAAGAGAGAGTAAACTCTGTAAAATCAGACTGGCAGACTCAGGACTTACACTCTTGTTTTCTTTAATGAGCAGCCTATAAAATATACCCGATTTCCTTTCAAATGAGCCAGTCGAGACTAATTTTGATCATTATAACCATCAGAAATAAGACTATATCAAATCCTTGACTTACCAGAGGAAGGTTTTTTCCAGGAATGTTGGGGAAGTCATGGTGCTCGTTATGGTAACCCACATTGAAGGTGAGTAGATTCAGAGGCCCGTAATATGAGTAGGTTTCATGTCCCTTTAAGAACATGTAATGTTCAGCTATGAAATGTCCAGAAATCGGGTGCAAACCTAGACCAAGTAAGGATGCTGCCAACATGTAGACCAAAGACTTAATTCCCAAAACGTAGTAAATTACAACATCGAACACGAGCTGGACCACGGTATTGATAATTTCCAGGTAAGTGATTGGTTTGGGGTTAATGAACAGAGGTCGGAAAGCATAAAAGAGAGGCTGAAGAACGACCCACATGAATTTTCTGAAAGTGGTACAGAAGAACCAGCCTTCAAAATCGGTCGGAATATCCACATCGATGCCATCAGCTCCGAGGTATCGATGGTGATCCATGTGATACCTCTTAAAGGAAATTGAATATGGAATACCAATAGGAAGATTAGCGAATATTCCAAACCAGCGATTCCACATGGCTTTGCAGTGGCCAAAGGCACTATTGTGGGAAACTTCGTGAATGGCCAGAGTCATTGAATGGTTAACACAGCTGCCAAATGCATAGGCCCAAAATATGACCCATTTCCAGTCCAAGTCCTTTACTAAGTAAAATGCAACCAACTGCATAAGAACCATCATAATAACAATCCATATCAAACTGGGATCAGGTTTCATCAAGGATTTTATCTCTGGATACTTTGCTGTAAAGAAAAAACAAACAAAAAAAAATCAGGAACTGAGAAAAGTTCAGAGTAGTTCTAAAATTATAATGAGATTGACATCAATTAAATTAACACATTAACTTTTTTTTTCTTGTTTCCAAATCATTATATGCTCTCTGTTAGAGACTTTATCTCCTCAGAAAGGAGTATATTCTAATAGTGAAGTTACTAAATATCATGTCAGAACAAATTGAGAATTTATGCAGGAAAAATCTGCCTCAAAATGGAGACTCTCCACGTTAACAGACAGTCACAGTTTAGCAAATCTACGTGTCTGACAAAATATGCTACATACTTAGGCAAGTGTCCCCTGAGGAAAAAGGCAGATTCCTGTCTGGATCCTACCGTCCCAGAGATAATTAATGTCTTTGGTTGTACATGTGTATTATCAGGTATGTTTGGCCCAGGAAGGCAAAAGTTCTGAAGGAGGACCTTTTTCTTGGGACAGCTCATTCAGAATGTTCTTGAAAAGATAATGAAGGGAAAAAAGCAACTTCATCCTCTTTGCTCTAAATGTGAAATGAAGAATTCAATAAATGCTTGAAATATAAGACAGGAAGTTATTTAAGTCCAGTTTTATACACAAGAAATTAGGTTAGTGTTAGCTCAAGGTAAATACCTCTTCTAGTTTCTTTCCTTTTCCTTGTTCTGTCTCCACTCCCTAACCTCTAATCTTTTTGGTATTTGTTCATTTTATCCAATGTTAATAATTTTGTAGGCACTAGACCAAAAAAATGTAATCCCACAGACCTAGAAGTGAATTAGTCTAAAATTAATTTTCCTGGTATAAGTGAAAGGTTCAAATAAGCATTCATTAAAATACGAGCATTTTTGGAGTAATTCTCCAACAACAGAATAACAACTGTTCCAGTTTACTGGTGGGTAAACAATAATTCTTTTGTATTAAAATGTTATTTCTGTTTAGACAGAGCTCTGGCATTATTACCTTTTATAAAACTTGATTAATAGGTGGAGAGCCAGAGGAGAGAAAGAGCAATTAGAGGAATCGTTTTATAAACTATATAAATATCAATGTACTGTATACTTGAAACTAATAAAATAAAAAATAAAAAACGATTAAATTGACATATCTGACAAAGGATAGATAATACACATTTGTAGGTACTCTAAAGTCATAAAACATATGCACAGTTCTCTCAGACAAATCAACTTACTCTACGAAATTCTGTACCAAATTTTTGTAAAGCTTTAAATAGCATATAACAATCAATACTACTAGGGTACCAATATAATTAAATGGAGAAAGAGTCTTTCCAAAAAATAGTGCTGGAACGACGGGTTATCTACATGCACAAAAATAAAGATGGACCTCTCCCTTACACCATACACAAAAATATTAAAACGGTCACAGACCTAAATACAAGAAAACTATAAAACTCCTAAGAAAACAGAAGTCAATCTTCATAATCTTTATGGTTTCTTAGATACTATACCAAAAGCAAAAGGACCAAAGAAAAAAACCGATAAACTGAACTGCATTAAAAACTTTTATGTTGCAAATGATACCATTAAGAAAGTGAAGACAATCCACGGAATGGGAGGAAATGTTTGCAAATTATTTATCTTGTGATTTGTATCTAGAATTTATAAAGAACTCTTAAAACTCTTACAATTAATAAGCCAATTTAAAAAATGGGCAAAGAATCTAGATAGACATTTCTCCAAAGCATATATACAAATGGCCAAAAAGCACATGAAAGATACTAAACGTTATTAAGTTATTAGGAAAATGCAAATTGAAATCTAAATGCAATATTACTTCATACCCACTAGAATGGCTGTAAAAAAAAGACAAGCAATAACAAGACTATGGAGAAACTGGAACCCACATACATTACAGGTGACTATTTGAAATGTAAAACAATGCAGTTGGTTTCAAAAAGTTTGGCAGTTCCTCAAAAAGCATAGAGTTACCAAGAACCAGCAATTCCATTCCTAAGTAGCTACCCAAGAAAAATGAAAACATACTTCTATACATCCATACAATAACTTGTATGTGAATGTTCATAGCAGCATTGTTCATAATAGTCAAAAGGTGAAAACAACCTAAAAGCCTAACAAATGATGAACAGATAAATGAAATGTGGTATATTCATACAATGGAATATTATTCAGCTACAAAAAGGAATGGCGTATTGATATATGCTACAACATGGTTGAACCTCGAAAACATCATGCTAAGTCAAAGAAGCCAGTCGCAGAAAGATCAAGTATTTATGATTTCACTTCTAAGAAATGTTCAGAATAGGGAAACCTATAGAGGCAGAAAGTAGACTGCTAGTTGCCTAGGGTGGGGCGGTGGGAGTGGGGGACACAGGGACTGCTAATGAGTACAGGGTTCCTATTGGAGGCGACAGAAATGTTAAAAAAATTAGATTGTAGTGATAGTTATGCGACTCTGCAAATACACTAAAAACTACTCAACTGTATACTTTAAATGGGTGAATTTCATAGTTTGTGAATTATATCTTAATAAACTGAAAACAACAACAACAACAAAACTGTTTCCCTGTGCAAGTATAGCAGTAAAGGAGCATTTCTTGTGATTATTTGACCCACAGATAATGGTTTGGTCCCAAGCCCTCATTAATTTCAAATAGATGCCTTTTAATATAACTCTAATTATAAATTTAGTGTACAGATACTGGTTGTTAACAACATATTGATGCTCTCTCATGCCTCTCTTCCTCCAAAACCTGATAAATTCCATTCTTATCATTTGCATATAATTTAAACAAACCTCCAGATTCTTATCTTTCCTGATATTCCATTCTCCACTCTTGAAATGGAACACTGAGCAGTTTTTATACCTGCTAGGGAAATGATTATATTTTCATTGAGAAATATGTAGTCCTTTTAATTTTCCAAGTGAAATGGTTCAGTGCTAATAAGTTTGTGGGAAAAAAAGGACTGTGTTGAGATAAGCATCAATAAGTACCTTTTCACTTCTGTGATTTTTCTGAATATTATATAACAGCTAAGATCCAGCATTCAGGAGTTGTTTTTACAGGGTGGATACCTGATTATGCTTATGCAACATCCTGATAAGGTGTATCATATGCTATCTCATACGCGTAAGTGATTTGCAAAATATACCTTGTAATTAAAAAGTATCCAAGAACCAGTTTCCTAAAAGGCTACCTGTAATAGCAACTGCAGAGGTTCAAGCTCCCAATTTACTGATTCAATTTATAAAAATTCATTTCAATGGGATCCACTAAGTCCGTTTTATAAGAACGTGAAGTTTCTAACTGTAGATCCCGAGCAAAAATCAGGGGCTCGCTTTTTTCACTGGGCAAATGAACGCTGAGAAGAAAAACTAGAGAAATACTGTGTCTGAGAAAGAATTCCTCCTTTTCAACTTACCACCCAATAACTTCCTGATTTTTGATGCAATAGCAAAGAGGTTAAAAGCATCTACTCTGGAGGCAATCTAACCCCCTCTAACCTTTACTTAATCACTCTTAGCTCATGTTTAAAATAGCGATAACACTGAACTAGTTATTGGGAGGATTAAATTGTGTAATGTTTGTAAAACATGACCGTATGCTTAGCATATCATTAAAGTAACTTGGGAGAGAGAAGCGAATTCTCTATATAATATGGAAGCTCCAAATAGCTGAACGCCTTACACCTCTGGAGAATTGACTAAGGCCTAGTTAGCCTAGTGTAAAGGGCCCTAAATTAGCAGCCAGGGGACCACGAGGCTAACCTTGGCACGTCTTCCATACTTTGGTCTTATCATCCACAAAACCCGGATGGATGAAAAATATATGTGAATTTGCCTTTCCTGCGTTCCAGGCGAGATCAATGAGACAACATGCGTGCAGGACGTGTCTCATCCGAGAAGCCCTAGGGCTCACACGGATGGGGTATGTGCCCCCTCCCCCGGGCCACGGCCGGCAGGCACCCGCCCACGTGAGCGTGGCGGGCGTGTGGGCCCCGATGCGCCGGGACCACGCCCTGCCTCGCACGCACTCTTGGTCTGGCTTCGCCCGGGCCCATTTGGGGAAGAGGGGAGAAGGCGGAGGAAACAGCGCCCACAGGGGGAACGGGGGTCTCTGCAAACGCTCAGCAACAAGGACGCCGGCGTCTCCCCGAGGAAGGGCCTGAGCTGCGGGGACGGGCAGGCGGGCGCGCCGGGTCCCCTCCCTCCCTCGCCCCCAGCCCGGGAGTGCCGGCCTTTCCCGGGCAGCTGCGGGGGCGGAGGGAG